TGTTGTAATACCTTTTATGTCTGTTGTAATCCCTTTTAGGTCTTTTTGTTAATACCTTTTATGTCTGTTGTAATACCTTTAGGTTGTTGTAATCCCCTTTTATGTCTGTTGTAATACCTTTTATGTCTGTTGTAATACCTTTTAGGTCTGTTGTAATACCTTTTAGATCTGTTGTAATACCTTTTAGGTCTGTTGTAATACCTTTTAGGTCTGTTGTAATACCTTTTATGTCTGTTGTAATACCTTTTAGGTCTGTCGTAATACCTTTTAGGTCTGTTGTAATATCTTTTAGGTCTGTCGTAATACCTTTTAGGTCTGTCGTAATACCTTTTAGATCTGCTGTACCAAATTTTAGATCTGTTCTTGTAAGAACTGCTACACCTGTTGAAAGAACCTGCACAACCTGTTGCAAGAACCTGCACAACCTGTTGCAAGAACCTGCACAACCTGTTGCAAGAACCTGCACAGCCTGCTTCTGTAAGAACCTGCATAACATGCTGTTGTAAGAACCTACATAACTTGCTGTTGTAAGAACCTGCATAACCTGCTGTTGTAAGAACCTGCACAACCTGCTGTTGTAAGAACCTGCACAACCTGCTGTTGTAAGAACCTGCACAACTTGCTGCTGTAAGAACCTGCACAAGCTGCTGTTGTAAGAACCTGCACAAGCTGCTGTTGTAAGAACCTGCAAAAACCTGCTGTTGTAAAAAACCTGCACAACCTGCTGTTGTAAAAAACCTGCACAACCTGCTGTTGTAAGAACCTGCACAACCTGCTGTTGTAAGAACCTGCACAACCTGCTGTTGCAAGAACCTGCACAACCTGCTGTTGCAAGAACCTGCACAACCTGCTGTTGTAAGAACCTGCACAACCTGCTGTTGCAAGAACCTGCACAACCTGCTGTTGTAAGAACGTGTTGGTCTGGTGGTCTGTGTCAGCTGCACAACCTGCTGTTGTAAGAACCTGCACAACCTGCTGTTGTAAGAACCTGCACAACCTGCTGTTGCAAGAACCTGCACAACCTGCTGTTGCAAGAACCTGCACAACCTGCTGTTGGTAAGAACGTTGGTTGGGGGCCCTGTGTCAGCTGCACAACCTGGTGTCGTAAGAAGTGTTGGTTGGGGGCCCTGTGTCAGCTGCACAACCTCCCTGTTGTAAGAACGTGTTGGTCTGGTGGTCTGTGTCAGCTGCACAACCTGGTGTCGTAAAAACGTGTTGGTCTGGTGGCTCTGTGTCAGCTGCACAACCTGGTGTCGTAAAAACGTGTTGGTCTGGTGGTCTGTGTCAGCTGCACAACCTGCTGTTGTAAGAACCTGCACAACCTGCTGTTGTAAGAACCTGCACAACCTGCTGTTGCAAGAACCTGCACAACCTGCTGTTGCAAGAACCTGCACAACCTGCTGTTGCAAGAACCTGCACAACCTGCTGTTGTAAGAACGTGTTGGTCTGGTGGCCTGTGTCAGCTGCACAACCTGGTGTCGTAAGAACGTGTTGGTCTGGTGGCCTGTGTCAGCTGCACAACCTGCTGTTGTAAGAACGTGTTGGTCTGGTGGTCTGTGTCAGCTGCACAACCTGGTGTCGTAAGAACGTGTTGGTCTGGTGGTCTGTGTCAGCTGCACAACCTGGTGTCGTAAAAACGTGTTGGTCTGGTGGTCTGTGTCAGCTGCACAACCTGGTGTCGTAAGTACGTGTTGGTCTAGTGGTCTGTGTCAGCTGCACAACCTGGTGTCGTAAGAACGTGTTGGTCTGGTAGTCTGTGTCAGCTGCACAACCTGGTGTCGTAAGAACGTGTTGGTCTGGTGGCCTGTGTCAGCTGCACAACCTGCTGTTGTAAGAACCTGCACAACCTGCTGTTGTAAGAACCTGCACAACCTGCTGTTGCAAGAACCTGCACAACCTGCTGTTGCAAGAACCTGCACAACCTGCTGTTGTAAGAACGTGTTGGTCTGGTGATCTGTGTCAGCTGCACAACCTGGTGTCGTAAGAACGTGTTGGTCTGGTGGCCTGTGTCAGCTGCACAACCTGGTGTCGTAAGAACGTGTTGGTCTGGTGGTCTGTGTCAGCTGCAAAACCTGGTGTCGTAAGAACGTGTTGGTCTGGGGGTCTGTGTCAGTGCACAACCTGGTGTCGTAAGAACGTGTTGGTCTGGTGTCTGTGTCAGCTGCAAAACCTGGTGTCGTAAAAACCCCTGTTGGTTGGTGGTCCGTGTCAGCTGCACAACCTGGTGTCGTAAGAACGTGTTTGTCTGGTGGTCTGTGTCAGCTGCACAACCTGGTGTCGTAAGAACGTGTTGGTCTGGTGGCCTGTGTCAGCTGCACAACCTGGTGTCGTAAGAACGTGTTGGTCTGGTGGTCTGTGTCAGGCAAAACCCTGGTGTCGTAAGAACGTGTTGGTCTGGTGGTCTGTGTCAGCTGCACAACCTGGTGTCGTAAGAACGTGTTGGTCTGGTGGTCTGTGTCAGCTGCACAACCTGGTGTCGTAAGAACGTGTTGGTCTGGTGGCCTGTGTCAGCTGCACAACCTGGTGTCGTAAGAACGTGTTGGTCTGGTGGCCTGTGTCAGCTGCACAACCTGGTGTCGTAAGAACGTGTTGGTCTGGTGGTCTGTGTCAGCTGCACAACCTGGTGTCGTAAGAACGTGTTGGTCTGGTGGTCTGTGTCGCTGCCGGTATCATTATATTCCTTAAGGAAGATTATAATCATTTTATTTATTTTTAGCGCTAAACCCGAAGGGGGTCATGCATCACCTGGGGGAATGGAAGTCTATCAGGTTAGATCCAAGGAAGGGTAGAAAAAACCCTGTTCCTTGGATCAAGAGCCTCACACAAGCGCCAAGTAACCTCTCTGGAGACGTACTATCGAGAAAGCAGTTTACCGCATGAGACTCATCACACCGCACATAGATGGCTCTGTCAGAGTTATGGCCACGACAGTAATACTGTCACTGATATGCTTGTGAGGACGTATTACTTAACACAAGAGGGTTTTATGTGATTTTTCTTATTACACTTACAGAAAGTATAAACCACGGTACGGGTGGGGATTGAACTCGCGGCAAAAGAGTTGTAATCTCCACGCCAGCGCGTAAGTTATACATAAAGTATTATAACTATCTACTGTTAGATAAACATGTGCAAATATTCGCAGGATTCTTCATATCTTTTAAAAGTTTCCTGTTATTCATCAAGTAGTGATATAACTTATTATCTATAATTATGTTGTAAGCTTACGGAATAATTTATAGTGATACAGATATGGCAGATAAGGCATTTTAGGTGTGGTGGTGTAAGTTGGTGGTGTGTGGTGGTGTAGGTTGGTGGTATGTGGTGGTGTAGGCTGGTGGTATGTGGTGGTGTAAGTTGGTGTGTGGTGGATGTTGGTGGTATGTGCTGGTGTAGGTTGGTGGTTTTGTGGTGGTGTAAGTTGGTGGTTTTGTGGTGGTGTAGGTTGGTGGTATGTGGTGGTGTAGGTTGGTGGTATGTGGTGGTGTAGGTTGGTGGTATGTGGTGGTGTAAGTTGGTGGTGTGTGGTGGTGTAGGTTGGTGGTATGTGGTGGTGTAGGTTGGTGGTGTGTGGTGGTGTAAGTTGGTGGTGTGTGGTGGTGTAGGTTGGTGGTATGTGGTGGTGTAGGTTGGTGGTATGTGGTGGTGTAAGTTGGTGGGGTGTGGTGGTGTAGGCTGGTGGTATGTGGTGGTGTAGGTTGGTGGTATGTAGTGGTGTAGGTTTTGGGGGTATGTGGTGGTGTAGGTTGGTGGTATGTGGTGGTGGAGGCTGGTGGTTTTGTGGTGGTGTAGGTTTGGGGGTATGTGGTGGTGTAGGCTGGTGGTATGTGGTGGGTAGGTTGGTGGTATGTGGTGGTGGAGGGTAGTGTTATGTGGTGGTGGAGGCTGGTGGTGTAGTGTTGGTGGTATGTGGTGGTGTAGGTGGTGGTATGTGGTGGTGGAGGCTGGTGGTATATGGTGGTGTAGGTTGGTGGGATGTGGTGGTGTAGGCTGGTGGTATGTGGTGGTGTAGGTTGGTGGTATGTGGTGGTGTAGGTTGGTTTTATGTGGTGGTGTAGGTGGTGGTATGTGGTGGTGTAGGCTGGTGGTATGTGGTGGTGCAGGTTGGTGGTATGTGGTGGTGGTTACGCTGGTGGTATGTGGTGGTGTAGGCTGGTGGTATGTGGTGTAGGTTGGTGGTATGTGGTGGTGTAGGTTGGTGGTATGTGGTGGTGTAGGCTGGTGGTATGTGGTGGTGTAAGTTGGTGTGTGGTGGATGTTGGTGATATGTGCTGGTGGATGCTAGTTGTATATGGTGGTGGATGCTGGTGGTATATGATTGTCGATGTTGGTGGTATTGTGTGGTGGATGCTGGTGGTATCTGGTGGTGGCTGCTGGTGGTGTCTGTTGGTGGATGCTGGTGGATCTGGTGGTGGTATGTGCTGGTGGATGCTGGTGGTATGTGTTGGTGAATGCTGGTGGTGAATGCTGGTGGTATGTGGTGGTAGATGCTGGTGTATGGTAGTGGATGCTGGTGGCATCTGGTGGTGGATGCTGGTGGCATCTGGTGGTGGATGCTGGTGGTATCTGGTGGTGGATGCTGATGGTATCTGGTGGTGGATGCTGATGGTATCTGGTGGTGGATGCTGATGGTATCTGGTGGTGGATGCTGATGGTATCTGGTGGTGGATGCTGGTGGTATCTGGTGGTGGATGCTGGTGGTATCTGGTGGTGGATGCTGATGGTATCTGGTGGTGGATGCTGGTGGTATCTGGTGGTGGATGCTGGTGGTATCTGGTGGCGGATGCTGGTGGTATCTGGTTGTGGATGCTGGTGGTATCTGGTGGTGGATGCTGGTGGTATCTGGTGGTGGATGCTGATGGTATCTGGTGGTGGATGCTGGTGGTATCTGGTGTGGATGCTGGTGGTATCTGGTGGTGGATGCTGATGGTATCTGGTGGTGGATGCTGATGGTATCTGGTGGTGGATGCTGGTGGTATCTGGTGGTGGATGTGGTGGTATCTGGTGGTGGATGCTGATGGTATCTGGTGGTGGATGCTGGTGGTATCTGGTGGTGGATGCTGATGGTATCTGGTGGTGGATGCTGGTGGTATCTGGTGGTGGATGCTGATGGTATCTGGTGGTGGATGCTGGTGGTATCTGGTGGTGGATGCTGATGGTATCTGGTGGTGGATGCTGATGGTATCTGGTGGTGGATGCTGGTGGTATCTGGTGGTGGATGCTGGTGGTATCTGGTGGCGGATGCTGGTGGTATCTGGTTGTGGATGCTGGTGGTATCTGGTGGTGGATGCTGGTGGTATCTGCTGGTGGTATCTGGTGGTATGTGCTGGTGGTATCTGGTGGTGGATGCTGCTGGAACTCTATGAAGGTTTGGGGCGGATTCCACAGTTCACCTGTAAAACAAAAACATAACGTTAATACGCAGAATTCTTGTTAACAATCACGAATCAGTGGATTACTGCAGCTACAACAAGTTGAAAACTTGCCAACAACATTAACCATAGTAGCAGTCGTAAAATAAACCACTGGAGTGGCGTACGTTTTCCCGCACCACGGGACCAGAAGTAAGTTGTTTAATATATAAGCATTATTAATTAACTAGAGGAAGTTGTAGCAAATGCTTTATAGCGAATTTATCTTTCCTGTAAATTCAGTGTTATTTTACTAATATGCTTTATTTGTCCCTGTTTTCATCCTGCTAAGAGGAGCGTTGGTAGGGGAGTCTTCTCCTCTACTCTTCTTGAATCAGGTTCGTATCTAATACACGATAATTCTAAATCTAGTTAGATGTAGATAGTTCTCAGCCTGTGAGTGTGGACACCCAAGTCCTTTACTGTCTTACCCAGTATATACTTGTTTAATTATTTTAATATCCATGAAGGGGAACCTTTAAACTGTTGCCTAAAATTTTATGTACTTTTTTTTCCTTTCCTCGGTTTTATTTCGCGTCTAATTCAACAACGCCTCATTGAGTGGGCTTCAAATTCTCACCGTTTGTGTACGGTAACGAGGACTAGATTCTAGGACCAATAGAGCAACTTTCATGGGACTATTTGCCCAGTGGACAAAGTTATGCAACGCGGTACTAGATTTTGTTTCCTTGTGATAACTGTAGAACAGAGGTGGCCTGTGGCCGAAGTTATTACACCCATTCCCAGTGTCACGAAATGACTCCAGTAACTTCCAAGATAAAATGTTTAGAAAAAGTTGCTTCCTAATTCGACGAGACTAAGAATGAAATTCAAGTGTATAACTGCAGAACTGACCATCTTTTGTAAGAAAAAGAAAACTATTCTTGTATAATCATGACGATCACAATGTATACGTTTACCTCTTCTGAACAGCTTCAATATTTTGTGTTATGTCTGCATTTTATGTATGTGCATCTTATGGCCAGGATAATACCCATTCAGAGGACATCTTCTATAACTTTTACCTGACCACTAGTTAACAGTAAGAAGGATTGGAGTTGACAAGGACCTCTGCTGTCTCCATGATTACATTCTTACACTAGTGGGTCCCTCCTCTCCTGTCTTCAGTATTTTCTGCGTCTCATCTTTGACAGTATATATGTCTCCATTCTGTCGCTTCAGCTTCACATTGTTCCGGACTATGGAGCAGAACACCTCAAAACTACGTCGTCAACAATGGTGGACTGATTACATCGTACTGACATTTCTACTGCTTATGAGCCTCACTATTCTCGTAAAAACTCTTCACTTCTTTCAGTAACCTACCTCCTACACCATACACCTGCAACATCTGCCACATTGCCCCCCTATCCACCCTGTCATACGCCTTTTCCAAATCCATAAATGCCACAAAGACTTCTTTAGCCTTATCTAAATACTGTTCACTTATATGTTTCACTGTAAACACCTGGTCCACACACCCCCTACCTTTCCTAAAGCTTCCTTGTTCATCTGCTATCCTATTCTTCGTCTTACTCTTAATTCTTTCAATAATAACTCTACCATACACTTTACCAGGTATACTCAACAGACTTATCCCCCTATAATTTTTGCACTCTCTTTTGTCCCCTTTGCCTTTATACAAAGGAACTATGCATGCTCTCTGCCAATCCCTAGGTACCTTGCCCTCTTCCATACATTTATTAAATAATTGCACCAACCACTCCAAAACTATATCCCCACCTGCTTTAACATTTCTATATTTATCCCATCAATCCCGGCTGCCTTACCCCCTTTCATTTTACCTACTGCCTCACGAACTTCCCCCACACTCACAACTGGCTCTTCCTCACTCCTACAAGATGGTATTCCTCCTTGTCCTATACACGAAATCACAGCTTCCCTATCTTCATCAACATTTAACAATTCCTCAAAATATTCCCTCCATCTTTCCAATACCTCTAACTCTCCATTTAATAACTCTCCTCTCCTATTTTTAACTGTCAAATCCATTTGTTCTCTAGGCTTCCTTAACTTGTTAATCTCACTCCAAAACTTTTTCTTATTTTCAACAAAATTTGTTGATAACATCTCACCCACTCTCTCATTTGCTTCACCACTCTCTTAACCTCTCTCTTTTTCTCCATATACTCGTCCCTCCTTGCATCACTTCTACTTTGTAAAAACTTCTCATATGTTAACTTTTTCTCCCTTACTACTCTCTTACATCATCATTCCACCAATCGCTCCTCTTCCCTCCCGCACCCACTTTCCTGTAACCACAAACTTCTGCTGAACACTCTAATACTACATTTTTAAACCTACCCCATACCTCTTCGACCCCATTGCCTATGCTCTCATTAGCCCATCTATCCTCCAATAGCTGTTTATATCTTTCCCTAACTGCCTCCTCTTTTAGTTTATAAACCTTCACCTCTCTCTTCCCTGATGCTTCTATTCTCCTTGTATCCCATCTACCTTTTACTCTCACTGTAGCTACAACTAGAAAGTGATCTGATATATCTGTGGCCCCTCTATAAACATGTACATCCTGAGGTCTACTCAACAGTCTTTTATCTACCAATACATAATCCAACAAACTACTGTCATTTCGCCCTATATCATATCTTGTATAACTCAAGAAATCGTAATGACACGATTGCAAATAAACCATACCCCCGGCCGGGATTGAACCCGCGGTCATAGAGTCTCAAAACTCCAGCCCGTCGCGTTAGCCACTAGACCAGCTAGCCACAATAAGATTCATCCAACTAGGTATATTTCTACACCATAGGAAAGTTAGCACAGGCACCTCTGTGACCACAAATGCAAGTTTTTACAGACGAATCTCCAGCTAGCGTGGCCGTGACGAACTCTAGCTCAAGTCCCTTCACTGCCGTCAACATGACTCAAGAAATGACTCTATGACCGCGGGTTCAATCCCGGCCGGGGGTATGGTTTATTTGCAATCGTGTCATTACGATTTCTTGAGTCATGTTGACGGCAGTGAAGGGACTTGAGCTAGAGTTCGTCACGGCCACGCTAGCTGGAGATTCGTCTGTAAAAACTTGCATTTGTGGTCACAGAGGTGCCTGTGCTAACTTTCCTATGGTGTAGAAATATACCTAGTTGGATGAATCTTATTGTGGCTAGCTGGTCTAGTGGCTAACGCGACGGGCTGGAGTTTTGAGACTCTATGACCGCGGGTTCAATCCCGGCCGGGGGTATGGTTCATATCTTGTATACTTATTTATCCTCTTTTTCTTAAAATATGTATTACCTATAACTAAACCCCTTTCTATACAAAGTTCAATCAAAGGGCTCCATTATCATTACACCTGGCACCCCAAACTTACCTACCACACCCTCTCTAAAAGTTTCTCCTACTTTAGCATTCAGGTCCCCTACCACAATTACTCTCTCACTTGGTTCAAAGGCTCCTATATATTCACTTAACATCTCCCAAAATCTCTCTCTCTCCTCTGCATTCCTCTCTTCTCCAGGTGCATACACGCTTATTATGACCCACTTCTCGCATCCAACCTTTACTTTAATCCACATAATTCTTGCATTTACACATTCATATTCTCTTTTCTCCTTCCATAACTGATCATTCAACATTTTACTTAAATTGGTACTTATTCACGTGCCCTATTTCAAGTTGTTTATTAGTTTTAAGCAACATACTATCCTCTTGATGAAGAGTGTACTGGAGAAGTGTCTCCGTCGAGATGAACATCTGTGCAGTGTTTGTTGTATCACAGCATCACAGAAGCACTGTGTTGCTGGTGAAGGCTTCTTCAGTCAAAGAACTGGAACTATCTTCCCCTTTCACAGATCAAGTCTGATTATTCTCTACTCTCGGTCCCGAGGATCTGTCTCAGACTCAGCAGCTTAGAATAATAATAATAAAGATAAAAATGTTTTTTTTTATAGTGGTTGTTGGTTGCTGCGGTTGTTGGTTGCTGCGGTTGTTGGTTGCTGCGGTTGTTGGTTGCTGTGGTTGTTGGTTGCTGCGGTTGTTGGTTGCTGCGGTTGTTGGTTGCTGCGGTTGTTGGTTGCTGCGGTTGTTGGTTGCTGCAATTGTTGGTTGCTGCGGTTGTTGGTTGCTGCAGTTGTTGGTTGCTGTGGTTGTTGGTTGCTGCGGTTGTTGGTGGCTGCGGTTGTTGGTTTAAGGGGATTGCTGGTTATTGTGGTTGTTGGTGGCTGTTGTTTGTCTTAATTCACAATCCGCACATAAGACAGTCAAACTCATGACATCTCGCTTCGACTTGGATCATTTAACTAGTCACCCAGCATCGCGAAGGGAAGGAAACCAGTACATATACTACTAAAACTACCACTACCAATTCTACACTTACACTGCTACGTCTCCTTGTTCTTCTCCCGGCCCCGCCCACCATCTCTCGTGTGTACTCTGGCTTTCTTCCCTTCACGTTTTTTTGTGACTATTTAATAGCCCGGACTGAACCGAAACCTCGCCATAGCTTTCATTATTTGAGCATTGTTCCAGTCACAGTAATGCGCCTTTATTATTTATTTATTTTTTATTGTTTCACTGAGAAAAGGTCTATCAAGTTCAGGTCTGGTTCCTACACCAGTTGTATGACTGGTAGAGGAACACCTGCACTAACTGTATGACTGGTGGGGATGACACTTGAGACTGGTGGAGGACTGACTACACCATCTGTATGACTGGTGGAGGACTGACTACACCATCTGTATGACTGGTGGAGGACTGACTACACCATCTGTATGACTGGCGAATGACTACACGACCTGCAAGACACCTGGGTAATACAACTGCTAGAAGACCTATCAATTAAATATTATCGTAAGAAATAGCAATATTGCTGGCTAATATATTTACAAATTTATTAGTCTCTCTCTCTCTCTCTCTCTGTCTCTCTCTCTCTCTCTCTCTCTCTCTTCTCTCTCTCTCTCTCTCTCTCTCTCTCACTTTCTCTCTTTCTCTCTCTACTTACCCAGGAAGGAAAGCTACAAATATTAAGTATATCGTTGTAGTACATGTTGGCTGGACAGGGTACTATGATGCCGCTGTCGTTGCCAGTACACTGGCAGTACTTGGAGCAGTCATTCGGGTCAGCTCGTGTCAGGAAGGGAGCAAGTAATAAAAAGCAACCCCTGGACACTTCCTCAGGGCAGTCTTCCGGGCCTGTAGCTGGAGTCTGCGTCGACGATGAAGACTGCCTCTGTGCCTGCGTGGGAGGCAGGGACACCAGCACCGTCATCAGCAGCATCAGGAGAGTCTTCCCCATCTGTTGATGACATGAGGGAGATAATTAGTGCGTGTACGTGTACTCACCTACTTGTACTCTAATAAATATGTACTCTCATGAGTGTGGTCTAGACACATCGTCTTATTTTCTGTTGACTGGCTTATTGATTCCTGGTTTCCAGAGCCGGTTCATATCTTCTATTATACACTTTGTTGTGGAGCAGCTCTTGATCAAAGAAATTGGGCGTAACCTCCCCTTGTATCAAACCTGAATGTCTCCCATTACCCCCAGGCTACATATAACCCTTACAGGTTAAGTGCTTCTCCGTCAATAAATCAAAAAAATTCCACAGTCTTTGCAAACTGGAACTGGTGTATTGGGATTTCAAGCATCAGAAACAATGGTTGCGTCGAAAGAAATAGATATATGGTTAGTACAGGTCAATGGGGATAATTTTATTCCTAATATTTCTTAACCCAATGGCCTAAAATTAACCCATTCATTTGCCTTATTAACAACTTGAAAGTCCAAACATACAGATAACAATCAACACAGTCTTTTTAACGTTAATGCACCAACAGTTTTGGAGTGAACACAGTTGCAATTGTTTTCAGCTCAAGCGCTCACGGGTTGTAATACGGTGGCACATTACTGTGACATAAACACACACAAAAAAAGTCTGTAAAGGCCATTAAAGCTTTACACTAACAGCCATCACTATTGCTCGCTATCACAGAAGTGTGAGGAAGGAGAAACAATGTTAGACATCCTCTATGAAGTTGGAATTTCATGGACAGTACTAAAAGTTGCATGTCTTTTGCCATAATCTGATATTTACACAGTATGACGAAGAACAATAAGGATGGTGATGCAGAGGAGGAAGGTGATGATATTGATATCGAAACAGCGTGACCCGATAAAAAAGAAGAAACGTTTTATCCTCACTCCTTCACTGTCTTGGCAGAGACGTGCAGAAATTATAAATAAACTGCAACATTTTTCACTCTTCTTTCAGAGTGCAGACACTGTACTTCACACCTCCAGGAATCAATTCCGGCTGTTTTCCCTGAATCCTTTATAAATATTACTTTGCTCTCACTCCAACAGCACGTCAAGCCATAAAAACCATTTGTCTCCAGTCGCTCCTATCGAATACGCTCACACACGCTTGCTGGAAGTCTAAGTCCCCTCGCACACAAAACCTACTTTACCCCCTCCCTCCAACCTTTTCTAGGACGACCTCTACCCCACTTTCCTTCCACTGCAGATTAATACGCCCTCCAAGCCATTCTGATTTGTTCCATCTTTTCTAAATGTTCGAACCACTAGAACCCATCCCTCTTGAGTTCTCTGGATAATATTTTTAATAACACAGCACCTCCTACAAGCTACGAATTCTCTACATAATATACACACCACACACTGCCCTCAGACACGACATCTCCACTGCCTCCAGCCTTCTCCTTTTTGCAACATTCATCACAATTGCTTCACATCCTTACAAGAGCATTGTTACCACTATACTCTCACACATTCTCCTTTTTACTTCCATGGATTACGTTCTTTGTCTCTACACTCTCCTCAGTGTCCTAGGATCAGTGATATTTCTGGTATATGTAAATGACATGAGGGAGGAGATACTCTGAAGAGTCCCTGTTCGCAGATGTGAAGTTAATGAGAATTAAATCAGATGAGGATCAGGCAGGACTTCAGAGAGACCTGGACATACTGGACACCTGGTCCAGCAACTGGCTTCTCGAATTTAACCCCGCCAAATGCAAAGTCATGAAGATCGGGGAAGGGCAAAGAAGACCGCAGACAGAGTATAAGCTAGGTGGCCAAAGACTGCAAATCTCACTCAAGGAGAAAGATCTGGGGGTGAGTATAACACCGAGCACGTCTCCGGAAGCACACACCAACCAGATAACTGCTGCAGCATATGGGCTCCTGGAAAACCTGAGAATAGCGTTCGAATACCTTAGTAAGGAATCGTCCACGACACTGTACACCGTGTACGTCAGGCCCATACTGGAGTATTCAGCACCAGTTTGGAACCCACACCTGGTCAAGCACGTCAAAAAATCAGAGAAATTGCAAAGGTTTGCGACAATCTAGTTCCAGAGGTAAGGGGAATGTCCTATGAAGAAAGGTTAAAGGAATTCGGCCTGACGACACTGGAGGACAGGAGGGTTAGAGGAGACATGATGACATACAAAACACTGCGTGGAATAGACAAGGTAAACAAAGATAGGATGTTTCAGAGATGGGACACAGAAACAAGGGGTCACAGTTGGAAGCTGAAGATTCAGACGAGCCAAAGGGATGTTAGGAAGTATTTCTTCAGTCATAGAGTAGTCAGGAAGTAGAATAGTCTAGCAAGTGATATAGTGGAGGCAGGAACCATACATAGCTTTAAGACGAGGTATGATAAAGCTCATGGAGCAGGGGGAGAGAGGATCTAGTAGCGTTCAGTGAAGAGGCGGGGCCAGGAGCTGAGTATCGACCCCTGCAACCACAATTAGTTGAGTACATTTAGGCGAGTACCATTCGCCTCTTTTCTTTCATCAGTTGTATAGTTCACTTTGTATTTCATAGACCCATCTGCTGATAATTCCGCAACCAAATATCTTAACACATTCACTTCCTCCATCTAATCTGATATCCAATCTTTCATTTACTGTTATTTTGTTATCCTCATTTTCTTGCTCTTTAATATGTTAATTTTTAATTCCCTTATTTTACATGCCCACCCAAATTCGTCCACTAACCTCTTCAACTTCTCTTTAGACTCTCCCTAAATCACAGTGTTATTAGCAAAAGCATCTGACAGCTCCCACTTTGTGTTAGATTTTTTATCTTTTAATCTCATACCTCTTGCCAACACCCGAGCATTCACTTGTCTTACCAGCCCATCTATAAATGTGTTGAACAACCATGATGGCATCACCCATACCTGTTTAAGGCGTTCTTTTGCTGGGAAATAATCTCTTTCATATCCTGAGCCTCATTATCCTCATAAAAAACCTACCACTTATTCCATATACTTTGCAAGATCTGCCACATTGCTCCCCTATCCACCCCGTCATATGCCTTTTCTAAACCTATAAATGCAACGAAAACTTCCCTAACTTTATCTAAATATTGTCCACTTAAATGCTTCAATTTACACACCTGGTCTACACATCTCCTACCCGTTCTAAAGCCTTGTACATTTGTAGTCCTGCTCTTTGTCTTACCTCTAATTCTTTCACTAATACCCCTACCATATACTTTACTTGGTATTCTCAGTAAAGTTCTTCCCCTATAATGTTTACATTCTCTTTTGTTCCCTTTCCTTTTATGTAAAGGAACTATACACGCTCTCCGCCAATCCCTAGCTACCTTAACCTCTTTCATACATATATTGAACAAAAGTACCACTGGCGAGTGAGTCGTGAAACTCATCTGTACAAGCTAGTATTTGCGGTCACAGTGGGGCCTATGCTAACCTCTGTGGTGTATAAAACATCTTATCTCCCTGATACACCCCGTCAACTAACTACACGAATACCACCTGGTGGTTCACACTTACACTCGCTCACTCATTTGACCATAAACAGAAATATTAATCTCAGTCTTAAAATAATGAATCCTGTGATACTCCAATACTGAAACTATATACTGTGCCAAAACAAAAGCATTCACATTGCTAAACTCATAAACTAGTATTTAGTCACTTAGCCATAATACCAACTTACCTCATAATTTGTAATATTTTACAATTAAGAATAAAACTAAGTATGCCCGAAATGCCTAGCCATGCTAAGCGTTCTAGTGGTACACTCTGTAATCACAATTTTACTACATGTAAACCAAACAATAACCAAATTTCTGTAAACTCAGCATTGTAATCCTTATAGAGAATAAACTTTGAATTAAATATACCTAGCTGGATGAGTCTTATTGTAGCCAGGTGGCCAGTGGCTTACGTGCTGGCCTGGAGTTTTACGACTCACTCGCCACGAGTTAAATCCCCGCCCGTGATATGGCTTGAATTTATACATTAATATCTTCTCTTTTCCTGCCATAACTAATTCTTCAACATTATTGCCACTCATTCCTTTGTTCTAACTCTGCTAGAAACCTTTGACCAATTCCCATTTATTTCTCCCCACCGAAACTCTCCTACCCCTTTCAGCTTTATTTCACTTAAAGCCAGGACATCCAGCTTCTTTTCATTCATAACATCCACGCACATTCAAACATCCAAACTTTAAGATTTTCTTCTTTTTACTTTTAGTAAGCTATACGGGAAAAGTGGTTACTAGCTCATTGCTCCCGGCATTTTAGTTGACTTATACAACGCGCATGGCTTACAGAGGAAGATTCTTATTCCACTTCCCCATAGAGTATATCTGCAAATATAACGTGAAACACGAGTATTTAACATATGGCGAGAGTGTGGAGATCAAAAAAAAAAAAAGTCTCGCTGGTCTCCAAGAGCCACTCTGTCACCTTCTCAAGAGCAAATGATGAGAATTAGAATCGCCTAGGAAAAGGAGTGGCGTAGTTAACTCAGAAATCTAAGTCTGTATATTAGTTAAAGACAACAGGCGTGAAGGGAAAGGTACAAAACACAGACCATGTACTATTTGCTCAAATAGACACCTACTGTAGTAAAGTGTTGGGATAGTTGAGTGTGGTGGGATAACTGTGTTGGGGAGAGTGGGGTGTTAGGGGCGGTTATGTAAAATATATTTTAGCCATTTGTTTATATTTGCTGCATAGGAACAGAAAACATCATAACTTGTGCTGTTAGTTAGCAGAGCCTGACTCAGGTGAATCTACGTCCTGGGCTCCTCCAGCAGAGATTGGCTCAAGTAAATCTCGCTTCGGGGCTTCTCCAGCAGAACCTGGCTCAGGTGAAACTCTTCCCGAGGCTACTCCAGTAGAACCTGCCTCAAGTGAATTTACGTTCTGGACTACTCCAGCAGAACTTGGCTCAGGTGAATCTCCGTTCTGGACTCCTCCAAAAGAGCTTAGATGAATCTCCACTTCCT